ACCTTTAAATTTACACTTTACATTAACTTGTTTTCTCTTTTTTTTTTTTTTTTCAATACTACATTAAGATTTATTATCACATATTTAAACCCAATTTATACACTATGTTTTTTGATATATTTGCAAATTGTCTCATTAATATACTTTTAACATAATTTATTAAATTTAAACAATCTTTTTCTCCTTTTTCTTTGGGTTTTCCAATCCTCCCCATACAGCCCATTTCAAAATTGTATATTTGGTCCATTGTAAAATTTCTTAATTTAGTTAATTATTTATATAATTCTTATCTTGATATGGGCCAATAGCCTACATAACTATTAGACCTTTATTTAGCTCAATGCAAGAGTTTCATATTGGTCCATTTTTTACATTCCTCATTTGAATTAAATTTTTTTTTACATAGTCCCTCTTTTTCTCTGGGCTTGTAGCCCAACACCATTATTCCACTTCATTTTTGCCCATTTAAAAGATTATATTGGCCCACTGCCAAATTTCTTAGTAACATATTAACATAGTTCCATTTTCATTTGGGTCAGTAGCCCATTAATATTTGGTTTCGGCCCCACATTTTTAATGATATTTATTAATTCATACAATTTTCTTCTCTGTTGGGCCTCTATCTAGTGACTCGAAATTTGGGTATACCTGTTGAAAATTTCGATTAAAGAAGTTAGGTTTAACTCGTTAATAATTTAGGGGTCGACCCAAAACTTAGCCATTTAATAGCCCATTAAATCTATTGAGTAAGGCCCATTAATAATGATATGTTCGACCCATTAAGTGGGTTCGATCCACTAAGTTTGGGACTCAGCCCATTATGAAACTTATTTTCCAAACCCTATTTTCTTTACATATTATCTTCTAAACATAAATCAATGTTCATATTGGCATCAACCCTAACTAATATCACATATCCATAAGATATTTAAATTTCTAAATGTGCAAACTCTACTTTAAATATTAAACATATAAACTTGGAAATGGATTTGAATGTATTAAATTGCATATTTGGGGATTATAGGACTAAATTTCTCTCATCCCCCATGGATCTCATATGGTGCACTATGGTTCAAGGCAATGTTGAAACTCTCCCACCTAACCTGCACATTCCACAACTATGCATATATTTAATTATTACAGATGGACGCATGGCATGATCAGGGCCATTCGTTTAAAATCCAACATATTTTGATGTGCCCTGCAACATGGATTCTTCTGATTGGTCCCTCGAGACACCTCAGCCGCTAAGGTGTTGGAAATTTAAAATTTTATAATTTTACCCAAAGTAATTTTTTTTTTCACTTTGGTCCTTTTTAAATTTATAGTTTTTTCCTAATTTCCTAAAATATTCTCAATTTGATCCATACGAAATAATTTTCTTAATTTTTTAAAATCCTGAATATATTTATATGTATTATTTTGAAACAATATTTGTGTACTTATTTTTTCTTAATAAAAAAAATTACAATTTAAAATTATATTATTTTGGGCTCTGGTCGGTATATAAGGCTTTAAAACAAGAGACATACATTGAAATGACCAAATGCCTATAAACATTATATTAATTTTAGATGTTGGACCGCAAAATCGTAATAGGAATGTGCTTGGCCTAATGGATGAGATGTGTGTCGGCATTAATGGTTTCTAAATATTGGAAAAATTTTGATACACGAGGTTAGAGGACAACAATTTGGGGGAGAGGATTTCCAATTAGAGCATAACTGAAT